TTTTTTGGGGAATCGCCCCCTCCTTTCCCCCCACCCCTTCTTCTCCTCCTTCCCCTCCCCTCGGAGGCCCCGAGTCAGGAGTTGCTGGCGTGGCTCCGCGCGGCTCCAGTCCCGCGTTGCCTCAGGAAGGGAAAGGCAAAAAGGAAGAGCCGCGGCGGCGCTTTGCAACGGCAGCAGCGGCTCCTGGTTTTGCCTTTCCCTTCCCGAGGCAACGCGGGACTGGAGCCGCATGGAGCTGCGCCGGCGGTAGCAACTCCTGACAGCCCCAGCCGGATACCTGAGCGGAGCCCGGGCGGTGCGAGCGGAGGCCGCTGAGCGGCAGGAAAAGGGAGCTGGGCCAGCCACAGACCAGCCTCCGTGCAACATGCCGCCGCCCGGCCCTGGCGAGGGAAAGCAGCGGGCGCTCCCCGGGCGCGCGGCGGGGGGTCTTTTTTGGCCGGCCCCGATTTTTTTTTCAGAGCGGAATATCATGCCTGAAATAGCTACACAAAAGTGCCAATGGTTAGCATTAAAACTGTCTATACACCTGGACTGTTAATGTAGTAAATCTTCTTTCTCCTAAGGCCATCTATGTACCAGCTGATGACTTGACAGATCCAGCTCCTGCAACCACATTTGCCCACTTGGATGCTACCACTGTGCTGTCTCGTGCCATTTCGGAGCTGGGCATTTACCCAGCTGTAGATCCTTTGGACTCTACTTCACGTATCATGGATCCTAATATTGTGGGACAAGAGCATTATGATGTGGCCCGTGGGGTACAAAAGATCTTGCAGGTGAATGGGTGTCATGGAATACTAACTTACAAATTTGTGAATGCTTTTTGTATTCTTTTTAATTGTGTATGTAGAATATCAACACATTTTATAGGAAGTGTGACTCTGATACTGCAAACCAGCAAAGATGCTTGGAAGAGGCAGAATGTAGAGAGGGTGGCATGTGGCTTGATCCACTCTATGGTGCTCTTGGTGTCTCAACTCACCTGCAGGTTTCCTCTCTAGGACTACAAGTCCCTCCAAGACATTATCGCTATTTTGGGTATGGATGAATTATCTGAAGAGGATAAACTGACAGTGGCACGTGCCCGTAAGATCCAGAAATTTTTGTCCCAGCCCTTCCAGGTAGCTGAGGTTTTTACTGGTCATGCAGGCAAGCTGGTGCCTCTGAAAGAAACAATCAAAGGATTCCAACAGATTCTGACAGGTATGTATGGCAACTGGAACTGAAACCCCCTGAAGCTGATGGCCATCTTGTTGCATCTTTTCTCATTGATAATTTTCCCTGTTCTAGTTATAAGGTGTCTACTGCATTACAATCTAAGTGTATTCTAGATGTAATGTAGCATTTTTCCAAGTAATTGTCTAGTGGTTACTGTCAACATTTTTCCATTCAAATATATGTCTTCTTAATAGCCTTCTGAATGAAACTACAAATACAGGTAGTCCTCAGTTAACCCCTCGTTCAGTGACAGTTTGAAATTATGACAGTGCTGAACAAGTACTTACAGCAATTGCACTTAGACTTATATACCACTTAATAGTGCTTTAGAGCCTTCTCTAAGTGGTTTACAGAGTCAGTGTCTTGCCACCAACAATTTTGAGTCCTCATTTTACCCACCTCTGAAGGATGGAAGACGAGTCAACCTTGAGCCTGGTGAGATTTGAACTGCCAAATTGCCAGGGCTATCTACAGTTAAACCATAGTGCTTGGTTACTATTTGTTATTTACCGTATTTATCGGCGTATAACACGCACTTTTTTCCCCCTGAAAATAGGGGGCAAATGATGTATGCGTGTTATACGCCGATATAATGTTAAGAAGCCTTCGGTGAATGCTGCTGGGATCGGGGATCAAGGACACAAATGAAAGAAGGGGAGGGAGGAAGCAACCGAAGCCTGTCCTTCTCTCTGGGTCAGCTCTCTCAGTCGCTCTCTCGCTCCTCCACCAGCACAGGAAGAAACTGCTTCAAAGAAGCGGGGGGGGGGGGCTTTTCCTGTCGCCTTTCTCCCCCACCCCGTCCGCCCGCCCGCAGTGCTCCGTTCTGCCTGCCTGCCTGCCTTCGTTAATGGTTGAATCGGAACAGCTTCGGCTGAGTAAAAGAGGCGAATAGTTATTATTCTCAGCCGAAGCTGCTCCCAAACAACCAGAAACTAAGGCAGGCAGGCAGAATTTTTTTAAATTTTTTTTCCTGAAATTTCCCCCTTAAAATGAAGATGCGTGTTATACGCCAGTGCGTGTTATACGCCGATAAATACGGTAGATGATGATAGAATGGGCAAAAGAGGCATATAGTTGTGATCTGTTTCTTCTTACCAGTTTTACTGATTCCAGTTTTTGACTTTGTCTCTGCAGGAGAATATGACCACCTCCCAGAACAGGCTTTCTATATGGTGGGGCCCATTGAGGAAGCCGTGGCCAAGGCTGATAAGTTAGCTGAAGAATACTCATGAGTTTACCTTTTAGGCAAATCTTGTATGCCTTCAAATGTCCAGTGGTTCACTTTGTCCCACCTCGCAATTCTTGAAATTTCTTGAAAATATTTAAGTTTCCAATAAACCATCTGGTGCGATTATAGAAGTAGTTAATGGTACTGTTGTAGCAGGAAGAGAAGCTATAACTTTGAAGCAGACCAAATTATTTGATTCTGGTTTCACTGACCAAGAGTAAGGCATTCTCGCTGACCATATTGGAAAGCAATGTTGTACTTCTTAATTCCAATGTGGTGATTGCCCAGAATATTCCACAAAGAGAATTGATGTGAACTGGATTGATGCAGAAAATCCTTCTAATACTGTAATGTTCATTAAGTGCTGGCACTTACTGATTCCTTCCTCTTCTTCATTTGCCAAATAAGGCAAATTAGTAAATTAATATGCTGGCCTACAGCCAGCCATTCATGCAGGCTCAAGATTCCTTGGACAGCAGTCCAGAAATGCATCTGAAAATTCTAGATAGTGTGCATTTTAAATTTTGATTTCCCAGAAAAGGCATGTTTGCTATGAATTCCAAAACTCTTGTTCAGTTTTCTGTAGGTAGCTTCACCCAGGGTTGGTCAAATAAGTACCATGTTCTGTAATGCAACTGAATGGATACAACATTTGAAGGTTGGAATGGAAAGATTTTGGCTGCATAAGTCTTTGAAAAGACTATTATTGAAAGAATGCTCAGATGTTGCTAAATCTTAATCCTAAAACAGAATCTAAAGACACTCAAAAGCCCTCTTTGTTTCCATAACTTTGTACCAAGCCACAACACTGCCTATTTGGTTTTGGTTTAATGTATTGTGTGATTCCCAGTTCAATAATATATATGTAAGGTGAACAAAACTACATAAACCTAAAAAGAAAGATCCCACTGATACCTGATGCAACAAGATGTTTAAAAGAGATAGTATCCACTTCACTTTTTCAATCTTGAGTTAGCTTTGGTTTTTAAGCGCTTAAGCAACTTCCTCCTGAATCTCTTTTAACTGACTCCCACACTACACATAGAAATTGGTTTCTCTTTCCCTTGCCTCTCACGGCCATTGAGGTTGCCTTTTGGAAGGGAGGGGGACGGCAGTTCTCTTTTTCTTTGACTGCTTTAAGGAGACTGGACAACATAACCTTGATGTGGTTGCTATGCATAAATAATTTGTCATCAGAAACTCATTTTAAAGGTGTCACGCCTTGATGCTCCAAGAAAGAATAGAAATCGATAAGTTGCTGTAAAATGAAAGTAATTGGGATTAATCGGCTAAGGCTCAAGGGATCGGTAATTGCTCTAGTATCAATTTCTCAAGCTTATTGCTCTGTTTATGTCTGGCAGTGTTGGGTTACAGAATCTCCTGATACCTTTTCAAAAACAAGTCAATTTGCAATGAGACATTCTAAAGCAAGTATGGCTGAGAAGTCTTATCAAACGTAGATTGTGTCCTGCAAAATTGAGACTTGACAGTTATGTGCTATTTATTACGTGCTGCAATTACAATTGCCAAAAGATCCGTGGTAAAAGTTATAAACATTGAGAGCAGTTACAACAGAATCACACCCTTCATATAGATGAGAGATTTTTAGTAAACCTAGTGGGTTTTGGTGCCGGGCAATTGTGAATCCTATCTTGGATTTGATGTATTCTGTACCTGATTGGTATTGGTTAAGCTGCTCAAACCATGCAGTGTGTGAACCATGGGAGATAATTCTATTCAAGTGAAGTAAAATTGTCCATTTCTTTTGGTTTAGGATTTTAATCCTAGAATTAATCTTAAAACATGCATACTTGCTATAGGAGTGCCTTTTCAATTTTTTTTAACAAGTTATTCTACAATGCAGAATTGCCCTGTATTTAATTAAATGCCACGTATGGGATTTGTACCTGGCCTTACATTTTGTAATTTACCTTTTTTTTTAGAAAACTATAATATTTAGAAATATTTATGATTTTATTTTTGATACCTTCTTGACATGATGTGATTTCCCATTTTGCCTCTTAATTTTATTAGTTTACCAAAATACACAATACAAAAAAATGAAAATAATGGGAAAGTAAGAAAAACAGAAAAACATTGAGTTCTAACTCTTTAGCACAGTAAAATAAGATGTACATGGTAATATACAGTATATTAACTGTTTCTATAACAAACCTACCAGGAAAACCCTATTTCATTTTTTTTCTACCTCAAGCATGAAGCAAGAAGTTTCCAAATGGAAACAAAGCTAGCTATATTTAATTAAAGCAGGCAATTTATCTACCTCTGCTAACTCCCATCAGTTTTTGCAATCAGTAGAATTAAAGTATATTTCCATTTTCATGTATAGAACGTGCTTGTGGCTTTCAGTATATACAGTGGTATCTTGGTACTCAACTGCTTTGTAACTCATCAATGTATTTTGATGCAAAAATATCATCCTGGTACTCATTGTTTGATATTCAGTGCACAAGCTAGAACTTATTGGTATCAGCTGCCTTGTGACTAACTACATTATTCCTTAGGGAAAATTTTGTTTGGTACTCACACCTCCCAGAACCAATTAATGATGAATACCAAGATACCACTATATAACATCAAAGTTCCATTTTTTTTTTCAAGTTCTTTTTCCATTAAGTCTAAGAGACAAATTTGATTTTACCTTTATATTCACTTTGAGTCTCGTGTATTAAGATGTGAATCCTACTCCAATTTTTTATTTTTTATTTTGCTTTGTCACAAGTCCACCAGAAATGGTAAAAGATTCCTTTACATTTACATTTCTAGCATGCCTTTGAAATACCATTAAATACCATTTAAAATACCATTGGTACATCTTATATAAAAATTTTCTTCTAAATTATAATTTAATGTAACTTTTAAACCTTTCACCCTCATATTTTCCCATTGTTCAAACATATCCAAAATTCTTTGCCCATTGGATCATACAATGCTTCATGTACTCATTCTTCAATTTCAATAAGTTTATAAACCTTGGTAATATGTTCATCATTACCACACAGTAATTTCCAATTATTTTTTTAAGTCAAATCCATATCTTTTTATCTACTTTTCAATTGTAAATAGGCAAACCAATGGCAGACACATACTTCTGATTCCAACTCTTCTTTAGGTTTGGGGGTAGGTTCACCTTAATTGAAAATAGGTCCATTGGTCTGACCTTGCCATCCTTCCTTTTCTAGAAAAAGCTTTCTGTTGTGACACCTTATTTTATTCCAAAACCTTAGAATGGCATATCTAACAAAGTGTTTGTTAAAATCATTTATTTTAACCTTGTCCTACCACAAGTAAGCATGCCATCCAAATCTTAATCTAAGTGGCCCTCCAAATTAAGTAACTTATTTTTGAGAGGCAGATTCTTTAAGCCAGCCAAACAGCAAGCATCAAAAAAGTCTATTTCAAATCTAGTAAACCCAAGCCTCTTTAGTATCTTGCAATAATTTTTATCTAATTTTTTTTTCCCTGCTGTGCAAACCTATCCATTTGCCATCTTTTCAAATATTTTTGATGCCATGTGACATGATATCCTATTGTTTCATGCAGCACACCTTTGCATCTAACTACAACAGTAGCTAATTTCATGACTAGGATCAGCTGGATGGGACAGGTTATCTGCAGTTGACTTAAATCAATAATTTAACTGCTATATGGGTCTATCAATTCTTTGGAACCATCCTTTTCCTATGAAACTCACACCCAATAGGATTCTACTTGGCACTACTGGCATAGCAGATCAAACCACATTACTCTTGCAATTTTACATACTCCAGCAGCAGAATTTGCTTGTACACATTGCAATGGGAGGATCCAGTTTCTTTCAGTACATTCTAGCCTCTTTGCATCTCTTTTGTCCTACCTTACAGCCAAAAGAACCTAAATAAGAAAGGCTTTGCAAGATGCCAAATAATCACTCTAGGAGAGCCGTTTGGCTAGAATAATCAACATAAAGACAGGTGGCAGGCACTGTAATTTTTTACACCGTATCAACATGTTAATCTGTTGCACATTGCGTGGCCTGGACCATAAGAACATCAACTACAGTACAACCTACTAGTGAGGATGTCAACGTAGTGATGTAAGCAGAAGTATATTCCTGGTAGTTGTCATTGAATGTGGGATATAACAGGAAAAGGGAATTCTGTGCAAATGTTGCTGAAGTATAATTGGACATACCTCACTATGGACCACAATGCTAGGGCTTCTGGGAACTGCAGTTCTGACTTTTGAACTCTCATCTCTACCCCTGGAATAGTGATTCAGATCAACTACCGTAGCTGACCTGGGCTGAGTTAGAAAGCCAAGTGGGATTAATATTGATTAATTCGATTAATATTTGGATAGGAAATTTCAGAATTGTAGGTTTAAGAGATGGCCTGGAAAAGATAATAAACCACTAACTACTACAATTCTGTTGAGAAAACATCAATATGTCCGTGAACATAACGAGGAGAGGAACTCAAAGGAGACTTGATCAATAAGACAGTGAGCCATGAAGAGGAGCAATCCCTGAGTGGCTGCCAAAAGAAAAACTGGTAGAAAGGCCATTGAGTTTGAAACCAACCCAATTGCACTAGGCTACAATCTGCTTTGTTTAAGCTGTGTTGCAACAACTCAGCTTGCATGGCTAGCAGATAGGTTGTGTTGTCCTGAGCTTCAGCAATTGGGTGAATGGAGTAAACCACAACTGAGTCAACTCATACATCATTGCCTCTTACCTTTAGAAAAGAAGAATAAACGAGAATGGCCTTCCCATTGGAAGTGGGGGGTCATGAAAGACTGGGATGTGTGGAGATAGCTTACTGTGTTCTGACATCCTGATGGATTTGTAAAAAAAAAAAAAAAAATCACACACAAACACACACATTTCACCAGTCACTGTAGAGCAGAGCAAAAGGTCATCTGCATATGATGCTTGGCATTTAATCTGTACGTTCTTCAAGTAAAAAAGGGGGAGGAGATGCAACAGAGCAATTGCTGAAAGCAAACATTTAGCCAAGATGCTGAGTTTCTTGCAAGGCAAGTGAGGGAAATGGAGACAGGAAAAGTCCAAGCAATTCACTGGAGCAGAATGCCACTTTCCTGCCTTTGCTTATGCATATGGGATGGTCTTCCTGGTGACCTCAGGAGAGGGGAAATAGAGCTGGATCTTGGAGGAAGGATACAAGCTTTCTGTTAAGTGCCAGGACTGGATGTAAATTCACCCAGGAGTTCAAGAGGAGAACTGAATGCAAGCTGCTCCCTTACCTTGCCAAGTTCCTCTTTCTGGAATCACCGCCCCTTGCTTTGTGAGTCTGAAGAATGACATATGCACGCTAGGATATCTGACGATATCCCCCTGGTTGGCCTTTATATATAAATGATGGCGCGCATTATTTGAGGTACACCACATTGAATACCATCACTGTCATGGGGGTGGGGGGGTGACCCCCTCCCTCCATCAATCAACTTCATTGAGAACATTTTTTGACATTGCTTCCAAACCCAGAGAGCGCCACCCTATGCCTTCAGGCTACACGGAGCCTACACTAAGGCTCAAAGAGAAATCTCACCCACGGCTGGCACATTGCTTCTTGCCTTTGGTTTGGCATGGTTCACCAGCAGAGTATTTACAGCATTTCAATGCAGTAATGCCAGCTTGCTTGGCAGCATCCCTATTTCCACTGATAAAACATGGTTAAGCATCATTTTTTGTGATCCTTGGATTACAGGATTGTGCACTGAAAGCGTCAGTAAATTTAAAACAAAAACCAAACAATAAAAAGTAACAAATATGCAGAACCTTATACATACAAGACTTCTACAATCTCAGGTATAAAAACCATTTACTTCCTGGCAATGCCGGCATGGATGCCCAGCAGGGAACTGCCTCAAACCCCATTTTGCTATCCCTCCCTTTCTTCAATTTCCCCATCATTCCCCCA